AGGCGGGCGGCGGAGCACCGGGGCTGGGGGCGGGGATCCGGGGAGAGCGCGCACCCAGACCTCTTCATTCCTTACGGGCGTCTAGAAATTCCCCTGACAGTCCTGCAGACTCTGGCTCCCCTAACCCACCTCTACCCTTTCCGCCCTGGACACACCATCGCATCTCCTGGAGCCCTCAGAACCCCCTCACTCGCTCAGCAAATCTGCTATGCGCACGGACCCAACATTTCTCTTGGATGCCCCCAGATGCTTCCACTGCCCGGAAATTCCTAGGATCCCTCATATCCCTATTCTCCTTGCACTATCCAAAATGCCCACATCCAAAATTCTTGCTCATGTTTCCCCAAACGTCCTCATACGTTTTCAGCCCCCACACCCCATCTAACTCCTGCCCCTGATCATACCTATCCGAGACCAGAGGCCTCTCCCCATTTCCACTCAATGCAGTCCTTCCTCAGTGAGCTATGTGGTACATCCTGATATCTTAAGGAGAAGAGATGGTGATAGGGAAGTGCAACCCCTCCCCCATCTTGCACCCTAGAGTTCTTGGTGCCCCCGCCCTCCCCCCACCCCGTCTGTGGCTCAAGCCCCAGTATTTTCCCAGCAACCTGTCTTTAGTCCTTGCACACCTCCCTGAGCCTGCTTCTTCCTTCCAGAAAATAAGCCAGACCAAGGGGATGGGGTCCTTTTACCTGGAAGTTGTCCAAGGTTGCAGGGTGCAAGGGGCCCTGGGAAGTATTGTTTCTCCAGAGCAGGAATGTGGAATGTCCAGGGGTCTGCAGGGTCCTGGCTTGTTGACGTGTTTACCTTGGGCTCAGAGGCCCTGAAATTTTGGCTTACTGTTAACATTTATGTTGAAATTAGACCTTTCAGAGCTTGGGGAGCAGAAAATCTATCAAGCTTCCAAATGCGAAATTGAAGCAGCCTGTCTTGGAAGAGGAACATGTCAATTTTAGTGATGTTTGTCTTACATTTTTGCCTTACAAGTTATTTAAGCTAGAAGCTCCCCAGTTTATAGATGGTTTCCCCAAAAACTAAGACCTTAGGTGGGAGTTGGGGAGTTGACTTAAGTCTCCCAGATACTTAATAGCAACAAAACTGACCGGAATATTGGTTTCCTGAATCTTAAACCAGTGCTCTCTCTACTATATCACAGTGTCCTTTTGAGAAAGCTCTTTGTAGAGTTAAAGTTCTCTGCAAAGGTAAGGTGATGGTTTTGATGTTTGTTGTAACAGGACTCAGAGGGAGACCTAAAGTGACTTAAAAGGCCTTGGCTAGGCGTGGTGGCTCACACCTGTAATCCCAGCACTTTGGGAGGCTGTGGCGGGCGGATCACAAGGTCAGGAGATCAAGACCATCCTGGCTAAGATGGGGAAACCCTGTCTCTACTTAAAAAAAAAACAAAAAAGTTAGCCGGGCGTGGTGGCGGACGCCTGTAGTCCCAGCTACTGGGGAGGCTGAGGCAGGAGAATGGCGTGAACCCAGGAGGCAGAGCTTGCAGTGAGCTGCGATCGCGCCACTGCACTCCAGCCTGGGTGACAGAGTGAGACTCCGTCTCAAAAAAAAAAAAAAAAAAAAAAAAAAAGGCTTTGGGTTGTCTTAGACTTCAAACTCATTGATGCTCCGGGAGTCTGTCCCTCTCAGGGCCCATGGGGCTTGGAATTTGTGCTCTCTTTGCCCTTGATTTTACTTTCTTCATTGGTGTTTTTGTCCCATTAGGGCTGAAACACATATCCAGGTGGGATGGACTGCCAGGTCAGTTTCATTAACAGTTGGGGGTGAAGATAGAAGGTTTTATTAATCAATGTCTCTGTTTCCTATGCTAGGTGAGCCCCGGGTGTATCCCAGAGGGATCCAGGTGACTTCTCTGCAGACTGTTTGCCATGACAGCCCAGCAAGGACAGGGGGAATAAAGTGGGAACCCTTCCCCATGCCCTTCCCAATGGCCTGGGTGAGGTAAGAGCTGTGTATAGGAGTCAGTTTTATGGCGTTTCCCAAGTTGGGAGGAACAGAGGATACAGGTCACCTGGTTATTCAAAGCTTTACCATTCAGCAGGAGTTCTAGAAGGATAGCCAATCCTACAGACTCATTTCTTGTGACAAGTTGCAACCCCTTAAAACTTCTGCTTGGTATTGGTCCATGCGTTTCTTGTTCCCTTAGGTCATTCAGGCCTGGGTGGTGTCCTCTTCATTCTAGGCACAGCCCTGACTGTTGTGACATATCATCCAAGTACCAGAATCCTGGAGGGAAGAGCCAAATAGTAACGCCTCTGGTCTCCCCTTCAGACAAAGGGAAGCAAACCCAGCATTTTTTGTGTGTGAAGAAATATCCAATTCAGGTTATTAAAATTGTGCACGGTTTTAAATGTTCAGTCTTCCAAATGTATCTTTTTGATCACAATGTAACAACTCATTTGAAGAGGATATCAAAAAGATAAATTTGCGCTGGATGTTGGGATGGTAGTAAGGGAGAAGAGAGAACTTGGATGAAGTGGAATGGATGAGCTAAAAAGGGAGGAAAAAAGAGACAGGTACAGGCCAAAGTGTCTGATACCCCCCAAGTGACAGTTTCTTTGCTGAATCCAAATAAGGGCCTTGGGTTGGCACCCACCTCCATCTGCTGTAGATCACTTCTCCTGGGCCCCTACTTTTCTTCCTGCCTATGTCCTTCCCTTGTCATTACATGGGTCAGAATCCTACATACTTCTCAAGGTCCAGATCGAAGGTTACCTCTGAGAAGCTCTCTCCAGCCCCCCATCAGCATTCATCCTGAACACATTGTAACTTGAATTAAGGTTTATCAAATGTGTGTCTGGCCTGGATTAAGAATGTGAAGTCTTTGAGGGAGGGTCTGTATCACACAGTCTCTTGGATAGAGTAGGTGATCACAATGAGGTGCTTCTTCCTGAGTTCCCCAGAGCAGGGTTTTTTGAAGCTGAAGTTGGTGACCTGCATATCCTGTATGTTTTTCCTAGGGCAGGCTGGCTGCTCTGACACCATGGGGAGCTGCTGCAGCTGCCTGAACAGAGACAGCGTTCCGGACAACCACCCCACCAAGTTCAAGGTACCCAGAGCCCTCTCCTCTCCTGCGTTCCCAACATGGCCTCTTGGGCTCAGACACAACTTAATGGAGTTGTCTCTGCTTCTCTAACAGCAAATCAAATGCCAGGCTGAGTTGTAGGCTTATGGAGACTTCTCGAGCTCACACCCTCTCAAGTAGCCTGAGGAAAAGAGGCCCAGACTACTGCTGTTTTCATGGCTCTTGATATTACCAAGAATGAAAAAATGCCATAATGATGCTTTTGGAACTGTTGTCAGTGTGTTTTTATACCTTTATATATCCCCCCCCCTTTTGTTTTAGAGAAAACAAAATTCTGTATTTGTGAGTTAATATATGTAAAGTATTTAAAATAGTGCTTAGTGGCCAGGCACAGTGGCTCACGCCTGTAATCCCAGCACTTTTGGAGGCCAAGGCGGGCAGATCATCTGAGGATCAGGAGTTAGAGACCAGAATGGCCAACATGGCGAAACCCCATCTCTACTAAAAATACAAAAATTAGCCAGGTATGGTGGCACACGCCTGTAATCCCAGCTACTTGGGAGGCTGAGGCAGGAGAATCATTTGAACCCAGGAGTTGGAGGTTGCAGTGGGCCGAGATCCCACTAGTGCACTTCAGCCTGGGCGACAGAGTGAGATGCCATCTCAAATAATAATAATAAGTAAATAAATAAAATTAAATAGTGCTTAGCACACAGTAAGCACAACATCAGTGTGCTGTTTGCTGTGGGAAGCTGAGGGCAGACCCAGCTGTGCGCTCCGCTGCCCCACCTCTCTGTAGAGGGAGCCTCCTTCCTCCTCATTCTGGGGCATCTTGAAGCACATGTTTCTCCAGCCCACCAGAAGAGGGAGCCCTCAGCAAGGGCACACAGCTGGGGACGGGGTAGAGGAGATATGTATTGGTTCTGCCTTGGGCTTGACTTTCCTAGGTCAGGGTGTCCCAGTCTCAAGATTTTGAATTTACAATTGAACTCCTTCCCCATTAACACCTGGCCCTTGGATACTAAGCCATGGGCTGTCTGGGGTCATCTAACGTTTGTTATCTAACCGACTGACCTTGGAGGTCAACTACCTACTTCTTCCCTCACTGTCCATATGACAAAACTCAGCCCCAGAGAAGTGGAATTTGCCCAGTGAACTGCTGTGGGTCCATGAAACTGCTTCATATAGTTATGTAGCATTCAGTAGAGTCTGTGATAGTCAGATGTGACCTTTGGTTCCCCACCTCTTGTCCTGCATCAGATTGTCTCCCAGTGGCTCAGGGACCCATGCGAACACTTGTTGGACTCACTCGTTGACCCTTCTGTCCTCTCCCCTCCAGGTGACAAATGTGGATGACGAGGGGGTGGAGCTGGGCTCTGGGGTGATGGAGCTGACGCAGAGTGAGCTGGTGCTGCACCTGCATCGGCGTGAGGCCGTCCGCTGGCCCTACCTCTGCCTGCGGCGCTATGGCTATGACTCCAACCTCTTCTCCTTTGAGAGTGGCCGCCGATGTCAGACAGGTCAGGGTGAGTACCAGGCCCTGCTCCACCGTGGGATAGGGGCTTATGCAGGACTCTAGGGTTCCTAATGTACAGATTAGCTCTCAAGAGGTTAATGTTGTTCCCCATCACCTGTGGGCAGTAGAGTGTGATGTATTCTCCCTGCAGTCAGAGGTCAGGGGTGGTAGGTTATTCCATGAGATCAAGGCTAGAGCCAGCCACGGCTCTCTGAAGGAGTGGCATGGTCTGGGTTTATCTCTTAGGATTCAGACTTAAGCTGTGCAAAAGGAATGCTGTATGGGATTGTGTTCAGTGCAGTTTGGGATTATGACTATGCAGAGATAGAATGAAGAAGCTTCTCTGATGAGGCTGCCAACAAAATAGATGAGCCTCTGAGGTCATGTTTGCTGGAGGAGACAGCCCTCCATACATCTTACCCTTGGAGTTCATGAGGCAGAGGCATGGGCACTGGGTGAGCAGGCAGAGTGGGCAGAGATATCCTTGCTTCTAGTGGTGTTTGATCTACACTTGGGTTCCCAGGGGGGCTACCCCTGGCCCCAGCACAGGGTTCCCTGCAACTCCAGGCTTTCCCAGTCTTTTGTATTTCTCGTCGTATTTTGCCAGAGTAGTTCTTTTTCTTCACTATTTCCTCCCCATCCTATTTGTGCAAACCACAGTTATCCCATTCCACAGCCTAATTGTGTCTTACTTGTGGGTATATGCACAGGCACACCCCAAGTAGCCTCCCCTAGGTCCCAGGTCCCCCTGTTACAGAGGGGAGTGTGGGAGTCCAGGCTGGCCCAAGACCCCAAGGGCATCTTTGAGTCCCCTGATTCACAGACACTCAGCCCAGTCCTGCTGTTCCTGGGACCTTGAGTTGCAGTGTTGCAGTTTGAAGGGCTGTAAGGCTGGCTGCATTGAGGAGCCATGTGATTGCCTTGCCATATTTGCCTTTAGCTAGTCTGCCCATCATTTCTTTCTTCCCACACCAGAGTTTAATGTATGAGGTCAGGGACCTGTATACAGTAGGCATTCGCTTTCTGGCCACGCACTGGGCTAATAAGTGAATAAGCAGGGAACAGAGTAGACCCTCTTGTCATCAGTGATCTGAGGACTGATGCTCTGGATGGAGCTTTTTTTCCTAGGAAGCAGGGGGTGTTAGGCAGAGGAAGATGGGGGCAGCATGTGAGGTAGAATGTTCACTCACCTGGCCGGGTACAGTGGCTCACGCCTGTAATCCCAGTACTTTGGGAGGCCAAGGTGGATGGATCAGGAGGTCAGGAGATTGAGACTGTCCTGGCTAACACGGTGAAATCCCGTCTCTGCTAAAAATACAAAAAATTAACCGGGTGTGGTGGCGGGCGACTGTAGTCCCAGCTACTCGGGAGGCTGAGGCAGGAGAATGGCGTGAACCCAGAAAGCGGAGCTTGCAGTGAGCCGAGATCACGCCACTGCACTCCAGCTTGGGCGACAGGGTACCCTGGTACCCAAGGTACGCTGCGCCACCACGCCCACACCACATTAAACACTCCAGCTATATTCCTCTGAGGTGAAATCATTTTCATAAGGATGTGTGAGTTCAGGTATCACAAGAAGAGAATCAAAATCAAGGTGGAGGCCGGGCATGATGGTTCATGCCTGTAATCCCAGCACTTTGGGAGGCCGCAGCAGGCGAATTACCTGAAGTCAGGAGTTTGAGACCAGCCTGACCAACATGGTGAAACCCCATCTCAACTAAAAATACAAAAAATTAGCTGGGCATAGTGTCGGACACCTGTAATCCCAGCTAATTGGGAGGCTGAGGCAGGAGAATCTCTTGAACCTGGGAGGTGGAGGTTGCAGTGAGCTGAGATCGTACCATTGCACTCCAGCCTGGGCAACAAGAGTGAAACTCCGTCTCAAGAAAAGAAAAAGGATGCTCGGGATGAGAAGAGGCTCTCCTGCCCCGCAGGACTGGGACTGGAGTTCAGGGACATTTCCTGCACATTATGCATCTGTTGAGCTCCTCTGGTCCTTCTCTATTGGGCCCAGGGTCATTTCTTCCTCTCCTTCTCCAGGAATATTTGCATTTAAGTGTTCCCGGGCTGAGGAAATCTTCAACCTCCTTCAGGATCTAATGCAGTGCAACAGCATCAATGTGATGGAAGAACCTGTCATCATCACCCGCAATAGCCACCCCGCTGAGCTTGACCTCCCTCGAGCCCCCCAGCCACCCAATGGTGAGGAGCCCCCAGTGTATACACACGCACAGGCCCAGGAAGCACAAATCTTGGAGGGATGAGTCAAGCTGGCAGGTTAGGGGAAGGCTGGGTGAGCCAGCCTTCCAGGACAGTTGTCCATGATCAGAACCGTTCTTGAGGATCGATAAATCCTGGGCTGGGCTAGGTGACTCAGGCTGAGGCTGTTGAGTCCTGGGCCTTGTATTGACGGATGATTGGGGAGCAGACAGGAAGACTTTGGGTTTCCGTAGAAACGGCAGTCTGGAGTTTTTCTGCTTTCTTCCTCTGTCTATTGGGTCATCCCGATATACTTTCCTTGCTGCTGGTGCAGGCATCTCTGGCCATGACTGTATTCTGGAGAGGGTCCTACAATTTCTGCTTATTCAGTCATTGAATTCAGACCAGGCACCTGCTTGGTGTTCTGCACTCCCTGGACTGGCCCATGGGGGACAGGAGAAATAGAAGCACAGTCCTTTTTTTGAGGAACTTCCCTGGACCTTACTGGCAGACCTAGAATGAAACAAAGGGATGATCCAGTGACAACAAGATGTGCTTTATGCATTTTGGGTGAGGCTATAATGGAGACAGTGGTGAGGTGCTTCAAGCTGAGCTTGAGGGAAAGGGCAGGGTTTGAATAGCAGAGGAAAGATGAAGGATAATGGGGGCTGGTGGCTCAGTGGGGTTTAACCACTGTGAGGCCCTGAGAACATCTCTCCTCCATTGGAGGAGTCCCAGAATGCCGCACACACAGCTGCAAGTGGTTGTCAGGTGGCTTAAGTTCCCCTCCCCTGGACTTGTCTCCCCTGTGTCCAGCTCTAGGCTACACTGTCTCCAGCTTTTCCAATGGCTGCCCTGGAGAGGGCCCACGATTCTCAGCTCCCCGGCGGCTCTCAACGAGCAGCCTACGGCACCCCTCGCTTGGGGAAGAGTCCACCCATGCCCTCATTGCTCCTGATGAGCAGGTGAGCAAGCAGCCGGCCAGCCCCTACCCTGTTGGTCTGGGTGGGGATGAGGGATAGGAAATAAGGCCACCTCCTCCCAGTAAGGATCACGGGAAGGGGAAGAACATTGTTAGGGTCCCTTCCTGTCCCTAAAAGGGAGTAGCTTCCTTGGAAGAGTTGGAGGACAAGGAAGAAGAAACTCCAGCTCTTTTTCTGTGTGCTTTTCTTCTCTCATCCTGTCCCTTCTGTTCTCTTTTCTCCCTGCCCTGGGACACTCCTGCCTCACTTGGACTCTCTGTCCCCAGTCCCACACCTATGTCAACACACCGGCCAGTGAAGATGACCACCGCAGGGGCCGCCACTGCCTGCAGCCCCTGCCTGAGGGTCAGGCGCCCTTCCTCCCGCAGGCCCGGGGTCCTGACCAACGGGACCCACAGGTGTTCTTGCAGCCAGGCCAGGTGAAGTTTGTGTTGGGCCCGACCCCTGCTCGGCGGCACATGGTGAAGTGCCAGGGCCTCTGTCCCAGCCTGCATGACCCCCCACACCACAATAATAACAATGAGGCCCCTTCCGAGTGCCCAGCCCAGCCCAAGTGCACCTATGAGAACGTCAGCGGGGGGCTGCGGCGAGGGGCCGGCTGGAGACTGAGCCCAGAGGAGCCGGGCTGGAATGGCCTTGCCCACCGCCGGGCCGCCCTGCTGCACTATGAGAACCTGCCCCCGCTGCCCCCTGTGTGGGAGAGCCAAGCCCAGCAGCTGGGAGGGGAGGCTGGGGATGATGGGGACTCAAGGGATGGGCTCACACCCTCTTCCAATGGTTTCCCTGATGGTGAGGAGGACGAGACCCCACTGCAGAAGCCCACCAGCACCCGGGCCGCTATCCGCAGCCATGGCAGCTTTCCTGTGCCACTGACCCGCCGCCGCGGCTCCCCAAGGGTCTTCAACTTTGATTTCCGCCGGCCGGGGCCCGAGCCCCCAAGGCAACTTAACTACATCCAGGTGGAGCTAAAGGGCTGGGGTGGAGACCGCCCTAAGGGGCCCCAGAACCCCTCGAGCCCCCAAGCCCCCATGCCCACCACCCACCCTGCCCGAAGCTCAGACTCCTACGCCGTGATTGACCTCAAAAAGACAGTGGCCATGTCCAACCTGCAAAGAGCTCTGCCCCGAGACGATGGCACCGCCAGGAAAACCCGGCACAACAGCACCGACCTGCCTCTGTAGGGACGTCCCGGTCCTCACCACCCTCTGCCCCACCGTGATCCAGCCTCTGCCTCACACTCCTGTCCTCTGAACCTACCCTCCCCAGGGTTCAGGGTTGCTTTGCAGAAGGCATGGAGGTGGGACCAGATGCTTCCCTGTGCTGGCTGGAGTCCCCAGAGATATCAGCCGCCGAGTCTCCTGGTCTGTCTCCAGGCTGGGGAGAGAAGGGTGACCAGGCGAGGAGGGAGCCGAGACATCAACTGTGAAGGGTTCCTGTGATTGCGTTTAGCGCCCTCCCGTTCTGTCCATTTGTCTTGTCTGCTGACTGTCCGTGTGTGTTTTTTTTGGTTGGAATTTTGAAACATTTTGTACCTGTTGATTTTATTTATCAGTTTATTTTTCTATTTATTGTTTTAAATGTAATTTAACATATTTATTATTAATATAATTATTTTTAAATTCTGGCCCAGTGGATATCATCTTCTTAGGGAATCTTTTCTGGTGTGGTACTGAGTTGGACACAGGGCAGGCCTAATCGAGGTAAGGGTTTCACTCTGGGGAATCTGGGGCAGTTATGGTTTTTGTGACAAGTCTGTGATTTTTTTTTTTTTTTTTTTTTGAGACGGAGTTTCGCTTTTGTGGCCCAGGCTGGAATGCAATGGCATGATTTCAGTTCACTGTAACCTCCGCCTCCCGGGTTCAAGCAGTTCTCCTGCCTCAGCCTCCCAAGTAGTTGGGATTACAGGTGTCTGCCACCACGCCCAGCTGATTTTTGAATTTCTAGTAGAGATGGGGTTTCTCCATGTTGGCCAGCCTGGTCTCGATCTCCTGACCTCAGGTGATCCACCCACCTCGGCCTCCCACAGTGTTGGGATTATAGGCATGAGCCACCACACCCGGCCAGTCATTTATTGTTCTCCTCCAAGAAGCCCTGGCCATGAACTTAAAGTTGCCGGGGACGGATGCTCTGTTGAAGGAAAGCGGTGGGATGGCTGGAGTCCTAGAAGCCAAAAGAGGGGCCTGTGAGCACTGCCCTAATGAGGTAGAGCCCCAGCCGTCTGAGGCTGACAACAGGTGGGGAGTGCAGTGGAGTGGACACAGCTACAGAAGAGATACCTTCACCTTCTCGGGGAGCCTTCACTGACGCCCTTGCAAGTAGGCAGGCCCCAAAGGGCACTGCTGTCCTTTACCACCTTGGCCCAGAGATGGACCCTGGATCCTCCTTAGCTGCCCCCAGCATGGCTGAGTCAAGACTAGACCTTTAAACAGGACTTTACTAAAATCCCAGGATTATCGCAAAATGAAAAAACATGGTGTAATGTGTAACTAGATAATCTGGCTTGCTAAGTGTCTTTCCTAGAGAATGTCTCTTCAGGAATGGACTGTTAGGATGCCTCTACCCTGCCACAAGGCTGGGCGCTAACAGAGCCGCCACGTTGGAGCACCTGCCTAGAAGCGCAGGGTCCAACGGGGATGTGCTGCACACACACCCTAGTGCTGATTCATTCCAGGAGCTCCTTTCTCTGTCCTGAGGCTGCCTCTCTCCTCTTCCTTCTCTTGCTGGCTTCCTTTCCTCCAAAACTCCATTTCTATCTGAAACCCCAGTGCGGTTCATCCAAAGGAAATCCTGCTTTTGTGATAAGCCACTCAGGGCCCAGGTGAAGAATGAGAGCTGTGTTTGTCCAACTTGGGGAAAAGCCTTGTCACTGTTTGTGCCCCCAGCTCCTTGTCCTGTGGAGCAAGCAGACCTGTCCTCTTCCTCACCAAGGAAACAAGCCCAGGCAAGACACCTCATCCAGTTCCCTCCCCCTCCTACTGTCCAGGACACTGCTGCCTGGGCCTCATTTCCTGGAGCTCACCTCCACTGAGTGGGGGTTGGACTGGCAAGCTTCCAGACCCCCCCGACCTCAGGTGTCACTTTCTGTCAGTGAAATGGGCAGTGACAACTGGCCACAACAGGATGTGAAAAGGTCCTTCGAGTGGGGCCCAGCAGAGCTCAAGAGGGCAGCTGCCACAACCCCAGAGCTGGCACCAAACCCTTCTCCCCCTTATATCCTTTTGATCTCTGGACCAGAGGGGTCACCTGCTGCAGGTTGGATTCATTGCAGTTTTCCACGCTGCAGTAGGGAGATGCCGTCTTCTCTCTGCAGCTTATCCAAGCAGTTCGATTCTGTTTGGATGTCCTCATACGCTTGCCCCTGCTACTACTCGTGACCTCCACAGTCGGGGTGGTGGGTGTCTCCGAACAGGAGGGTGGATGTGGGGGAGCAGGTATGGCTATGCCAGGACCAGAGTTAGGGGTCCTGGCCGTGCTTGGGACTCATGCATCAGTGCAGGTTCCACCTTATCAATGGATAGATACTATGATGCGGTAGCCAGAGGCTGGCTTAAGAGACCCAGGGTCCTGACTTGGTCATTATCTCTGCTACCTTAAGCATTCGGTTACCCAGATGGGCTCAGTGTTTGCACCTGGAAGACGTGGAGCTGGTATGAGAAGTAACCAATGAAACGATGAACATGGCACCACGTTGGAAGTAGACAAGACTCCTGCAAGTTGTGTTAACAACCCAGCTGTTCCCTTAGAAGTCACAACTCTTAAGTCCCTCAGGCTGTCGCTTTGCTGAACAAATCAAGAAGGGGCAGTTATTCTCATTCTCTGGGTCCCCAGATCCTGGCCTGACCCCTGGGGTCTCCCTAGAGCAAGTCATAATTGCTTCGATGAGCATGTTTGTGGGGCTTGGGGGAGTCGACTTACAGCTCAGTGTGGCCCCCAACCTTTCCTTTCCCCTCCCCTGGTCACTGCTTCTGGCCCATAGGGTCTACTACAGGAATTTTCCTCTCGAGGGAAGGACAGGGTGTGAGTGGACAGCTTTCCTGGCGGGAAGGGGTGGGTGGGAGCGATGCACAGGAGGGTAACTGCCGCCCCTGTGTTTGAGCCCGCCCTGCCGACAGGGTGTGGTGCACAGATAGAATCAGTTTCCATCACCATCATCATCCAAAGATCATCACCAACATCAGTACGTGTTTGCCGAGTGCTGGGTTCTCTTCTTTAGAAACAGGCCCTACCCACCCCTGGGCTGCCCTCAGGAAAGGACAGGATCCAGCATCCTGTCTGGGAGTGACATTTCAGGTCAGACCAGGAGGGGCCCTCCCCAAGGTCCCCCCGGGTAATAATAGCACTTTACAAGGGTATAAACACAGTCAGCTTTCCACAGGGCCTTGTTATTTATCTTTATCAGGACTCACTGGCGGGATGTTATCATCACTGTACAGAGGAGGAAACAGGCCAAGAGGTGACGTAACTTGCCTCGGGCCATGAAGTTAATTGGTGGCTTGGGCTAGGGCTGGATGCCGGTCGTGTGTCTCCTCCACCCCCCCGCTCCCTGCCTGGCCTGAAAGAGCCTCGTTCCCTCAGGTGGGCTGCAGGGAGACTGTGTTGGGTGCTTCTCCCTGGGTTGAGTCCCAGCAAGGGATCACATTCCAGTGCTCCCACTTAGGAATCCTGAAATCCAAGGCAGGGCCTTCTCAGTTAACTACAGGGTGACCCTGCTGTCCCCTGGGGCCTGCCTTACGCCCACCTACCAACTCTGCCCCTCTACTCTCATTTCCTCAGAAATGGCTCCTGGTTGTATCGATGGGAGAGGCCAGGGCAGGTGTGCAAGAAGCAGCTTGACTTCACTCGCCCCTGCCTGCCTCTCCGGAGAGCAAATCAGCCTCAGGGGAGGCCCTCAGAGCTTAGGCTCCCTGAGTTCTGGGGAGCTCTCTGACCAATATCTTCAAGGGGCATCCTACTCACAGGTGGGGAGCTTGTAACGAGGCACCCTTGGGCCTTCAGAAAGGTATAGGGAGGGCTGAGGGAAGGGTGGGGAGGGCTTCAGGGCTCTGTATAGTTCACAGGGTCCAAGATAGAATCTCAGAGCTTGTAGGGCAGCTAAACTAGGACCCATCCAGGGATTTCTGCAACAGGATTCCTGAAGATGTTTATCTAGTGTTTGCTCACACATTTCCAGGACGGGGAGCTCACTACCTAACAAACCCTCCCTCGACTCAAGTCTTATGAAGTCCCCTACAATTCTTCCCATTGGGTCCTAATTCTGCTCCTGGATCGGAGCATGGCTAAGTCTAGTCTCTCTGCCAAGGGTGCTGAACTTTGAAAGTTGGCGTCACTACTTACTAACAACTTGACTCATGCCCCAGTTTCCTCATCTGTCACACAGGGATAATAACAGTTGTTGTGAGGGTCAAACAAGAGAATGTCTACCCAGCATGAACCATGGCGACTGCCCATAGTAGGTGCTCAGTAAGTGGCAGATGTTATTTTTACCTGAACATGTTTTCTTGCTTGCTTGCTTGCTTGCTTTCTTGCTTTCTCTCTCTCTCTCTTCTCTCTCTCTCCCCTCTCTCCCTTTCTTTCTTTCTTTTTCTTTCTTTCTCTCTTTCTCTCTCTCCTCTCTCTCTCTCTCCTCTCTCTCTCTCTTTCTTCTTTCTCTTTCTCTCTCTCTTTCTTTCTCTTTTTCTTTCTTTCTTCCTTTCTTCCTTTCTTTCCTTTCTTTCCTTTCTTTCCTTTCTTTCCTTTCTTTCTTTCTCTTTTTTTGAGATGGAGTCTCACTCTGTAGCCCAGGCTGGAGGGCAGTGGTGTGATCTTGGCTCA